TTTATTATTATTGTGAGCCACCCAGAGTCACCCATTGGGGGAGATGGGCGGCATACAAATTCGAAAAATAAATAAATAAATAAATATTCTACATGTAGTCTTGCCATGGATTTGTATAAGGGTTTTACTATATTCACTTCCAAACTGATTCCAAACACAGAAACTGCTTTTTTTTAAGGGCATCTGCATTGTGAATTGGTGGACAAAATCCAAGTGTTTGAAAACATATAGACCTCAGAAACAGATAATTACAAAAACTATTTGTCTGAATTCATCTATAAATATACTGTATAGCAATAGTCTGTAAAAGAAAGTTTATTTATTTATTTACTTATTCAATTTGTATAGCCACCCAGCTCAAACTAGTGACTCTGAGTGGCAAACATTCATAAAAGCAATTAAACAGTTAAAACACAATATAAAAAAAGAAATTTAATACAAATAGCAGTCAAGAGATATTACAATCTGTCAGTGTCAACATATCTAAGAAATGCACTAACCCCATCCCACTCCCTCCAGAGGTCATCCAAGAGCACAATCAATGCCACTCAGTCCCATATCCAGGCCTGAATCCTGACTGAAAAGCGTCCAGATAATCTGCCTCATCCCTTTAAAGCTGCTGTGTGACCACTTCCTCTACAACCTTCCCTAAAAAGGGGAGGTTTGAGATTGGACAAAAGCTGTTCAGATTAGTTGGGTCAAGTGATGGCCCCTTGAGGAAGAGGTGCACCACTGCCTCCTTAAGAGGCAGTGGGACCACCCACTCCCTCAAAAAGGAATTAACCACTGCCCAGACCCAATTAGGCATCCTCTCCCAGGCAGCCTTGACCAGCCAGGAGGGGCATGGATCTAACAAAGAAGTGGCCGAACTAACAGCTACAAGGACCCTGTCCTCTTCCTCAGGTGCAACAGGCTTGAACTCCTCCCAGATAACTATGCAAGACTCAGCCCCTGTAACCCCCACTGGCCCTGCATCAAGGCTGGAGTTCAACGCAGAGTTAATCCGCGTGACTGTCCTCCAGATGCTCAGCATATTCTGCACAGTGACCCTGAAGGAGTTATTGGTGGGATAATTTGTCTACAGTGTTTACATTTAAATTTAAATCATCTGCTTGAAACATTTTGATAGAAAAATTGCCTAGCAGTTTGAAGATCACAGAATAGCAAAGAAGAAAACTTACCTATATAATGTGGGTTAATCCATGAAGGTTTTGTCTTAAAATCAAAAGGTGCAAATCCATCCAACATTTGAAGTCTGTGAATATACAGTATGCAGCATGTCAACAAAGTCCTTCAGGAATATCTGAACAAAACATTTTGTTCTATCAAAGTCTCCCCAAATACAGGGACTCCCATATGTGCTGGATAACAAATATTAGGTAAGTCCATATTACATTCCAGAATGTAGTTTATCTAGCATGTGTTTTCATACCAAATTCAATTAGTAAGCATAAATGTACATATATACACATATGCCTAAGTGTTCCACTCAAAACGAATGAGGCCAAATTCAGTCTCCCTCACAGCACTGCATGCATTCATTTAGAAAGGTAGTTAAAAACCTTCTTACCTGAATGCTGTGAAACAAAAGCACAGGATTCCATAATACACAGAGTAGAATATTAGCACACATTTTAGCAGATTGAGCAAAATAATCTGTAAATAAATAAAATTAAATTAATGTCCTTTCTTAACCACCTTTTCTTCCAAATCACTTGAAAAATATCATAGTATCTGTGAGAGTGGTATGTGTTTGTGTGTGTCAGGGGACAGCACCAAGCTATCTGTGGCTGATCTGAAACAAAACAAAACCCTAAACAGGTTCAGATCCAGTTAGTACATAGATACTAATTTCATGAAATCTCAGGGCTGTATGCTAATGAGCATTCATAGGAGGCAAATGGTGACACCTGCATGATGACATCATTATGCAAATGCTACCATTTACATAACAGCATCAGACATTGAGATTCATGTATGCCATTGCATGTATGTCATCATCTTGGCATCAAGAGATTCTTTTATCTTATTTATGTATTTATTTATTTGTTTCACAGTTCTTATATTTTGCCATATTTTAAAGCAACTCCCCACAGTTTACCACACAGTATCATAAAAATGACCCATAGCACAATAATGCAAGAAAACCAAAAACCAATCTAGAAGTGTAATGATAGCACCTCCTACAAATCAAAGGTTCTGCAGCATAATTCTGTCGTGACAGCTTTCCAAAATGTAAGCTGGGAAGGGCCCATCCAAGTCTCGGGGGTGGGGGAGGTTATTCTATTGAAGTGGGCTAGCAATGAGAAAAAATGCTTCCTCCCTCTCCCTTCAGCAACTTCATGAATGGAGGGAACCATGACCGTCTCCACCCTAGATCAGCAGATCAAACAGTCTGGTTCCACTTGAATGAGACTCTGAAAATGCCTAGGAGTCAAGCCTTAAAGGGGTTTTTAAGTTAAAACTAGCACTTTGAATATCCACAAGCCTACTGAGTGCCAGTGCAATACCCTCAAGCTGGTGTCATATGGCTGCAATAATTCTCCCTCACCAGCAAGCAGGCAACTGTATATTGTACCAACTGCAGTTTCTGTAGAGTTGTCAAAGACAGCCCCATGTAAAGTTCATTGCAGTAACTGTCCTAGAGGTGATAAAGGCATGAGTTACTGTTAAGTATATTTTCAGAATGGCAGAATGTTCAATTAGATGTTTATTCAGATGTATGAATAATAAGAAAAGCTTACTCATGAAAATAAAACTTAAGTTTTGCTGTCTTTGGGTTTTGCAAAACATGGACTAGTCAACATTATAAAGGGATTATTATCTTGGATCCTAAGGCAACAAAGGAAAATAAAAGGAAAAGCCTCTCACTATCCTTCCTTTTACAACTGCTTGCATGCCCTGAAAATAGTCCAGAGAGGCACCCCTTCCTTCTCATCCCAAATCATTCAGAAGCACCATTGGAGCTTCTAAAAGGTTTTGTGGAGAGTAGAAGTAACTGTGGAAATAAAATGAGGAAATGTTCTTTCGGTGAACTTCCTTGGACTCAAGTTAATTTTTTGTTATGCTTGGGGGGAGGCAAGATGGAGGTAGGGGAACTCGGCTTCTATTTCACTTTGCTCTAAAATAACTACTGTAGTAGTGATAAAGCTATCGCTTTATAGCCAAACTGTGAAATGTATGAGTAGCAAGGACTTACATCTGATTTAATCCAGAGCACTCTGGGAGACTGATATGTTTTCCCACTGGCTGAATTACTTCCTCATAAATATTCTACCAGGGCTTTTTGCAGATGGTGAATTTCATGCCCACAAAGATCAGGAGCAGAATATTATTCTAGGACAAGGGCAAACAAGGAAGAAGAATTGCATCCACTTCTCCCAGATCATAGACTAGTTTTCCTGATGTATAGCAAAGCTAAATCATCCAGAATATATCAGGTTACAATATGGAGACAGGTGGAAACGGGTACAAGGTAAGTTGTAAGGGAATGTCACTTTTCTGTTGTTACGATCTGAGTCTAAGCCTAGTGAAAACTCTTACATAATACTTTATTTGTTTATTTATTTTCTTCAACTGGTATAATCACCCAATTTAGGATGACTTTGGGCAGCATAGAAACAAACTAAAAACAATCATAAAAAGCAATACATATCAAAACAGCAAAACAAATGGACAGCTGAAGACACCAATCAATATACTACCATGCGTCGTAGAGATGGGCTCACTCAACCCTCTGGCCCAATGCTGGAGAGCCAGTTATATTACAATACTGTGTGATGCAGGATTAGAACAAATGGCTAAAAATGAAAAACCTGAAAAATCTCATTGGAACTCTATTCCAGCAAGTCATCTGAATTGACCCTGAAGATAATCCATAATCCATCCAGTCCATTAAAAGTGCACTATATTCATTCGTAATGTTGTTGGCAGGATTGTAAAAGAGATTGACACAAAGTACCGCAATGCCATTTGATAGAAAGTTTTTAAAACAAATTGGGAAAAATCACCCAACAATCCTTCAGACTGAATCCTGCTGGTGGTTTCTTGTCTATCTTTTCAAACACATTTACATTACTATAGTATAATATATGAACTAGATTAAATTCCCATTGTTAGTTATCTGGTTTGTAACCGAGAACAAGGAAAACTAAACAGCTTTTTTTTTAAAAAAATGAGTCTGTGGTATTTAAAAGAGTGGGGAATTGCTGTGGCTGAAAAAATCAACATAACAACAAAGAGCTTTTGGGTTTATACAATGGAGCATAAGATTATTCAAATCAGGTCACTATTTATTATTTATGTTAACAGTGTCTTTTCTTTTTTAAAAATAGTTTTTATTAAAAGATTTTACATAGGTAATATGTAAATAAGAAGTACATTCAAAGAAAAAGATATAATGTGAAAGAGAGAACAAAAGAAAAGAAAGGAAGAGACAAAGAAATAAGGAGATAGAAAAAAGAAAAATAAATTAAAAGAACAGAAAATGGCTTCTGATCTTCCTCTTGGCAGTTATACATACAATTCTAATCAAACCTCTCTCTAAGATTACATCATAATTCCCTTCTTTTTATAACCCATTCTTTCTCATCATCAAATCCATAAGTCTATAATTGTAAGCCACCCAGAGTCATCCTCTGGGGGAGATGGGTGGCATATAAATTTAATAAAAAATAAAATAAAAAATAAAATAAAATAAGTCACAAAATCACTTTTGTTTTTATGCAAAAAGTCCATAAGGGTTTCCAGTCATTGACGAATGTCAGTAATGACCTTTCTCTAATCAAAGAAGTCAGTTCTCAGCAATTGAATATTAATCTTTAAAATCCTCTATATCCATGTGTGTATTTAAATCCAATTTTTAAAAACTTTTTTACATGTACACCAAGTATTATAGACTGTTCCTTCAGGTTGTTCACATTTCCAACATACATTTGGAATGCCTTTATACAGTCTAAATAATTTCTCTGGCATCTTGTACCAATGATACATCATTTTATAAAAATTATCTTTAAGATCATAACATAACATAACATAACATAACATAACATAACATAACATAACATAATGTAAATTTCAACCTTTTGACCACATATTTTCCTATTGATCCACGTGTATATTATAACCAAAATTCTTAGCCCACTTTATCATACATTATTTAACCTGTTCTTCCATTTCAAATTTCAATAAATTTTATATATTTTAGCAATTACATGTTCTTCATTGGTACACAATTGCACTTCAAATTCTGTCTTACTTTGCTCCATACTGTAAGTCTTTTTATCCATTTTAAACCTTTCTGATAACTGTAAATGGGAAAATCATTAGTTGCTCTCTTGATTTAATGTTATATTCCTCTTGGTGATTCTCCAATAATTCTTGGTATATAAACCATTTGTCTTTGCCTGTTGTTTCTCTTCTGTAAAATGCTTCTTGTGCTGAGATCCATACAGGTGGTTTCAAGCACGGCCTGGGTTTATATCTATTCCATACTTATTCCATATTCTCAATATGACATGTCTAACTTTATAGTACCATAAATATCCATGCCATCTATACCTCAGGTCATGCTCTTCTAACTTTAAAAGTCTTTTGTTTCTCAGTAACACCCATTCTTTCATCCAAGCCAAACTTTTTTTTTTTGTTTGCAACTGGCTGCAAAATACAATTTCAAATCCAGTAAATCCAATGCTCCTCTTTCCTTTGCATCTTATAACATTTTGTATTTAATGTGTGGGTTTTCCCTACCACACAAATTTAGATATACTATTTTTTTCTCTTTTGAGGAGTATTTGTTCCATTTATATTCCATGCTAAGCATTTATAATCCATAATTATGCCATGATTTTAGAAAAATCAATACCTGTAGCGCCCACTGTAGTAGCATCTTCAGTGTCTTATTGTATCTGTTGTGGCATTTGTTTAGTCACATCTGTCATTGTCACTTCCATTTGCATTTCCTCCAATTCTTCTTTGAATTTTCCCAGAAAATCTCTTACTTTCTACATAGAGTTCAGTCTGAATTGCTGCTGTTTAAAAGTAAAAATCACCCCTTTCAACTTAACCTATCTAAATGCAATCTTTTTCTGTTTGAATGTGTGTGTCAGAAAAAAAAAATTCTTTTCTCTTGCACAGTATTCTAATTGGAATTTCCTTAAGTATAGTTAAATCTATATTATCAATCCTCAATCTAGTATTAAAATGCTGCTGCAGAACTTGATCTCTAGTCTTCTTCTTGACAAAGTGCACAAGGACATCCCTTGGAACATTTCCTAATTTTGTAAATCATGAATTAATCCTATAAACTTTATCAATCTCTGCCTATGTGTCATCTTCATCCCAATCCAAAATGTTAGACAGGGATTTAACAATCTTTTCTCTGATATCTTCCCCATGGCCTTCTGGAATTGCTCTAAATCTTAAACAAAAGTATTTTTCTCTCAGTTCCACTAATGCCAAGTTATCCAAATCTTTCTCCATCTCTCTGTTTATAAATTCTGTCTTACTTTCCAAAACTTCCACTTCATCATTAATTTGTTTTACACCTCCAGCCAAGTGTCCTAAAGATTCTTTAATCTTCTTAACTTCTTCTTTCATATTCTTTTTTATCCCTGCAAATCTTTCTTCCATTTCCTTTTTAAAAGCATCCAAA